ATTGTAATCTCTGACTTTGTATAAATGCCTGAGATTAGACATAGTTGCACATTTAGACTTATTTCATGGAATTATTGCTTGATATAATAGCCTGTTCCATTCTTTAGTTTCACTTTGGCATGTCTAGCTTGATTTATACGAGATAAAGATGAAAATGCGGATTCGCGAGAAAATACCAAGGCAGTTGAAGTTTGCTAAATATTTGGGATATCTCTCCAAAATTTGAAGATTCAAGTTAACTTCAAACTATTTTTGGGATGTGGTGGCTCTGTGGGCCCACAGTACCTAGATGTTACTCGAGAAACCTAAGCGCACGACCGCTTATCTCTTACAACGCATCTAGTATAAACTCAACCTTGTGATTAAGAAAAGAAAATAAACTAGCAGTTCATTCTTGTAACACAAATAAAACAGGTAAACACTAAGCTAAAATAACAAGCTATGTACCAACCAAAATAGAACTCCTGCACGGAACAGGGTGCCCCATCCCGAGTACAGATGGTGTGCTTCTATAAACACAAGGAACAAATGTGCTTCCGAGGCTTCTCCTATACAGATTCGCCAAGCTCGCCGGATGTCAGGCACGAGAGCCCCTTCGCTCCGAAGGTCCGTAGGATCTTGATATTTTAGATCGCTAAAGCTCCAATGGCTTGTCCAAAATCATCCCCAAATCCGACATGAACTCCACTCTAATTTGAATTCCGATACGCTCGACCTCTACTGCAAAAGTGAAATCGAAAGGCGGAAGCTGAACTGTCAAGCAGGAGCGCAATAGGAAACACAAGACAAAATTATCGATTGAGGAAAACGAACAGACGCTAAAATGAGGCGTCGCCGCTATATATAGCCTTTCGGCTGGCAACGTGCCAAGGCAAGGAGAGGTCCGGAGGCGATTGCGGCAAGCGTGAGAAAGTACCGTAATCTTCGCCAGATAGCGCGGGTGCAATCAGTGCTCCCGATCTCCTACTTTAGGGCGCTCGCATGGCGGAGCGGCGACACGGGTGTTCTTCTTTTCCAGAATTATAAGATTGCGGGGTTGCGATGGGCTAATGTCACACTCCTTGATTCAAGGGATGAAGCTTTTTTTCGAAAATTTGTGGGGCCCCGCCACTGACTTGTTTATGCCAATCTCTTTTCACTCACAAACTTGATCAAGAAAAAAGAAAAAAGTGGTTATTTTATGCTCATGACGCGTACTCACCCGAAGCGATCTATGTATTCCAAACATTGTATGGGAATATCAAACTTTCAGAGCTTCACGCTGTCTAGTTCTCTCATTCAATTTTTAATGACAAGCCAAATCTCATGGAAATTTTGCACAAAAAATCTGCTTGTGAAGTTGCCGAAATCAATTTTTGATCCTCGTTACTGCGAATGCAAATCTTTAATTCATATTCATGAAATTTTGCCATATTATATTTCTTCTTTGTTATTTAATTTAATCCACTGTTTAATTGAGCTACAATTCATTTTCAATAAAGATTAGCATTTTTTGAAATTTTTACTTGTTTTTATCGGTATCGCAAATTCATACATCCATCCCACCCTGTCAAAACGCAAAGTAAATGAGTGCAACGAATTTTCCTATCAGCTTTAGGGCTCTAATCCATCGGGTACACATTTGCCCTTTATGGTGGCAAATTTGGTAAATTCTCGTTACGGACAGAAATGGCAGTTCTAGCATGAATGGTAGATATTGAATATAGGACATCGGATTATTGATTGTGGCAAAAATTTCCTTTTTTATAACATTTTTAGCATGTGAAAAGAGTAGTATCGAATTTTATTCCGATAGAATGACAAGAATGCTCTCAAATCTATTGAAAAGGAATCAAAAGTATGTTTTCATGATAGACTACTACGTCATCAAATAATACATTAATTTCGGAAGTTACTATATTTAAAAGAAAACCCACTAAAATCACAAAAAGAAACCTTTTCTGCTCCATTCTCTCCAACGCTAGTCTGCTGTGCAAATATCCATCCCCTACAGCTTTTGACAAAAAACTGCTTGATGGATTTGCAGCTGAAATTCCCTACTGGGATGTGGGCTAACCCATGAATAACCTTGGAAAATGCTCAGAGAGCTCGGAAATGCATAGGAAACTTTTGAAAAATTCCTCCCATTTTTCATTCGGCAAAAAAAATTTCTGGCATAGAAAAGTGGGACTTTTGACGGTCGTTTTGCTAGTGCATTTGTTGCTGGGAAAGAGAATTTTTTTGATTTTGTTTCGAAGTGAGTTTTTTTCGAAATTAGTGCACCTTTCGATTTAACGAGGTTGGCAACTGGAAGGCGACTGCTCGCGCCCGCGAATAGTCTGCGTCTCTCTTGCGAACGTTCTCTCTGACCGTTCTCTAGGCTTAATTAAGTCACGAAGCCCCGCCTTCCAGCCGCCAATCCAATTGAATCGAAGGGTATACCACCATCGCTTACACAGAAAAAATTCCGGGAGGCATTGTGTAAGATTTTTGGTAGAATGAATACATACCTGCAGGGGCTTCTACCGCTCTGCTAAAGTTTCGCAAAAAATAATTACACTTTAGCGAAATTTTCGATTTTGTAAAATTCTGACACATTATTCTTTATTTTGGCTTCTTTGTAGACCAACATTTTAATCCAACTTCCTTATTTGTCTTTCCGCAAGGTCCATTTGTAGACTAATGTCCGCTGAGATTTTGCAACTCTGACTTTCTCTGCGGAACTTCCGACCTTGTCTAAAAAGCCTAAAAATTTTGAAAATTTCTCCTCACGCGAAAATCAGCCCCATTTGGGGCATCTCAATGCGCGTGACTCTGCACTCAACGCTGTAATTTCCTGAAGAATTTCCACTTTTTTCCACTCTTCACCTCAATGGGATGACGTTACGTGCTCTTCAGCGACTATCTATTCTAAGCCTCTTTTTAGCGAGAATTGGACCCTTGAATGCTGTGTGTAAACTCATTTTTGCATGACAATGCTTTATCAAAGTAGTTTTAGCCTGCTCTAGCAAAAATTGATTTATTTTTGTATTTGTAATCTGGAATTTGATTTTCTGGCAGATAAGCAGCTGCGACAACAATTTTCTGCAGACGTAGATTGTTTATCTTCTGTGACGCGAAAAGTCGATGTTCAATACATTTGATTTTCATGTTCATTAACTACTTCTAAATATGAAATTGAATTTTTTTTTGCCTCAAATTCTTTGAGCTGTTTTTCAGCTTGAATCTTTGCAAGTGACTCAAAAATTATTCCAGGTTTAATGCAATTTTTTAAACAATCTTTGCTTTGCTCTCAGTGAAAAATTAATATTCTCAAAATTTTTTTCGAGTTGCTAGTCTACTTTCTAACCTCTGCAAAAATCCTAGCAACTGGAAGGGCTCAAAAACTTTTAAACTCCAAGAATTATTGCAGAATTTTCTTGCTTGCTCCTCGAAGTCTACAAAGTTTGCTGGTTCCATGATCGATCCAAAAACCCTTGTGATATTATCTGAAATGTTTGTACAGCTCCCGATGAGAAATGTTTCGAATAACACACATTCCACAATACATTTTTCGATCAATGTCACTCTAGCTTTGAGATACGAATTTGATTTGAAGTAGTGGGATGTTGTGAATAGAACTAGCTAGAGGTATATATTGTAGTTTGCTATAAAGCTTTGAAATTTAAAATCAATTTTTTGAATTTTGAAGGAGTTTTTAACCTTTACTTCTACCTTTTAGTTAGACAGAGATTTGACTTAAAGTCTCAGTGGAACTCCTCAGTTAGTGTAATACAGATAAGATTATTTTGAATTGCGAGCTGCAAGGAGAAAACTCCGAAGAAAAACATGGAAATATTCTAACCATGAAGGAAAACAAATTCTATTTTAGAATTTCCAATAAAATCGCTGAATTCGGAAAGTCGTCCTGAGTTAGTCATAGTGTATTTCGTCTATAATTTTAATTTTGGAACACATTGATGAATTTTGAAGAACTGCGAACTACGCCTTTTCATTTTTCAAAAATTTCACTATTGTGAAGAATCTAGGTTTCTGCAGCTAGCTTTTCCCCTCCCTCCTCCCCCCGCTGAATTTTTTTTTTGATAATTGCCAATCCTAGAAATCCGAGTAGGTATAATAGTAGTTCGCTATAGTACTTAAAAAACAGATTATACTTTTTTCGCACTTACATCAACCTCAATTCTCTCGTTTATACTCATTTCTGAAATTACCACTACAAATTTACATCTGCGGCAGTCTGATCCAGATACCAAATTTTTATTCTCCAAATTTGTCTTCCTTATTTTGGTGGTGCTGTGCAATCCATATATGTGTTGACAATGGTAAATTGAAGCCTTGGAAAAAAGATACGCTAGGCATCTCAGGCTTCTAAGATTTCACAATAGAAACAAAAAATTGTCTGCCACATTCTCACGAAGTTTCTAGGCAACATTTCTACTAGTTCTCTCAATCTCTGCACAGATTCTTATCCGCCGTTATTTTTCTTCGAAAGAGATTCTTTTTTCCGTGAAACATTTTTCCTTGATGATGGCAATTTTCTGCTCGAACGAGTAGTTATCCTCGAAAGTGTAACAATGTGTCTCCATGTCTACATGTGTTATCTACTTCTTATATATCCTTTTTAGGGTTCTTGCTGGTTGTGTGTGTGGTAAGGCAAGCCAATATTGTCGACGAAAAGAAGAGGAGGGGGTATCGGATTAGGAAAAAACATCCGAAAGAGAAGGAGAAGTCGGGCGGCCCCTGTGGAAAGAAGGAGAGAAGCGGGTGACGTCAGGGACCCTAGGGATTGGAATATAGGGGCTGGAATTCAACAGCTAGAGGAACTCGGAAGTTCGGCTGTGTCGCTTCACTGCGGCCAGTTTGATCTACCATCTTTGGTAAGTGATTTTATGCAATTTTCTCGGGTAAAAGCATAAGAATCTCTTAGATCTCGGTCCCTATGGTTACGCTACTTGTTTACCCGGCTATTTCTGTTGTTTATGGGTACTTTCGAGACTTTTATGTACCTTTTATAATTAGCAGGAGCAACGGGCGCCATCCAGCCAGCCCCAGCCCCGGTCCAGCCTCTTCATCGGCATCAGCATCAGCACACACCACACACACAACACACTCTCCGGTGACGCAGCGGCCCCCTCGTGTGTTTTCCCGCCCGTTTTCTACCCCCTCGAAAAATTTTCACCCCCTCTTATACCCACCCACCCAATCTACTAGAATCCACCATCTCCTTGGCTGAACATCACCTCAATCAGAAAACACAATGCGGAGTAAGTTCTTTTTTTTCCGTTTTCTCAAATTTCCTATCTCATTTCTTTCGATTTTTCCTCCAATTCTTGAATTTTTTTTTAGCTTCCTTGTCTTTCCTTTTTCCAGAATTTCCTTCAGCATATGCTAGTTGTTATGCACTCTTCCGTCGATGATTACATGTAAATTGCTTTCGATTTTACCTTCCACTTCGAACTCTACTTTCCACTTCAATGCTTCCACTGTGGGAAATTCTAGGAAAATTTCCCGCAAATTTCACTTCGAAAACGCACATTCCTTTCATTCCATTCATCATGATTACTCAATTTTTCTCAATTTTATTGAAACTTCTCCTAATTCTTCCCACATTTTGAATGGGAACTTACAGTGAACACAGTCTCATTGGCAAAATGAAATTACAAAAGTTTTCTAGAAACTTCCTCTTGCTCAGTTTTTTCTCAACGCCTAATTCTAAGTCTGCCGGTCTTACTATCTTATTTATGCACTTTTAATCTTGATGAATTTTCCTCCTTTAATGAGACGAAAAATGTAACAAAAAAGTTAATAAACTTTTGCAGATGAGAAAGAGAATGAGGTTTAGCAAATGAAAGAGTTTTAGAAAAATTTTCTTTTAAGTGTAAAAGGCCCTAATTGTATTCTGTATATTTTATTATTTTTACTAGTGAAAGCCTCTAACTGTATTCTATGTATTTTTTTATTTTCTAGTTTGTTTCCTTTCGTTCACTCTAAACTTACTGCAAAATCCATGTTCTGGAAAATAGCTGAAAATTCTTTCTTACCATAAAAAATTAGCTAATTCGCATCAACTAAACAGAAAATATATCTAGATAATTTCATAACAAAATATATGAAAGGTCAACGGTTTGTAAAATCTGCACCATATCGAGATGTTGCAACAATTGCTTGGGTCTTAAATGAAGTCTTGGCTTTTTTACTGCGAAAAATAGAAATAAAGAAATTTTCAGAGTAGTCGTCCTATTCAGTCAGCGAAAATCTTGTTGCAAAAAAATTTTTGCATTTTCATTCTCATTTCTATTTTTCTGTTTTCTTACAAATAATATTTCTGTTTTATTTGCTAGGCTTTACAATAGAATCCGCTCTGTTCTTACAAGAAAGAGATATTGAGCAATTTTCTGACTACCCTCTTCTTACCTTAACTTTTCTCTTCGATTTACAGTGAGAATTCTGTAGAGAACTCTTTCACACAAAAAATGAACAACCACGAATTATCGATGACGAGGTGAATGAATGTCTCGCGATCCTATGAACATACAAATCATTTGTTTCATCATCTGTCTGCACACATTTACAAAAGCAAAAAGTGAAATTCCTGGAATTCTCGTTTCGAAATTATCTTCATGCAATCTATAGCTATCCATCAACGAAAATTCCCGACTTTTTATTGTACAATGACAATGACAGTCCTTTGGAACTGTACAGTGATGCAAATCGTCTCATGATGGAGGGCTAAAAGCTCTCATTGGCAATTCTTAGCCTCGTTAGCCGAGTAGGATTTATGAGACTCGAGGGACTAGAGTCATTTGTTCGGAAACAGTGACGAAAGGTAATAATTCTAGTTCTGATGGTGATGTGATGTGGATTTGGGAAATTTGGACGGACTTGGGGAAGGAGGAAGGAGAGAGGGGGCAATTGCAATTTACATAAAAATTCCCCAAGAGCAGAAAAAAAGAATTTAGCAAATGAAATCTAGAAAATGTTTGGAAAAAGAGAAGGAAATCGGAATATCTTGCAACATGTTATAAAAATGTGAAATCCAGAAATCAAGTTATTTAACTACGTTTCTGTTATATAAGACTATGAATCTTAAGTAATTCATGTTCAGAATTCTTTTTTATCTCGATTTTCTCCTCCTGGTTACTCTTTTGATGCTTCATTCCTTAATTTTAATTTAATTTTTTAATTTCTTTGTTTCTCCATTTCTTCATTTTTTTAATTTCTTTAAATTCTTCATTTCATTTCATTTCTTAGTATTGTAATTAACCATAACATGAAAAATTTGCTAAATATCAACTTTTTATTGCTGCGTCTTCCGTCCTTACGGAGGAGTTCCGGGGAAGACCTAGTAATCAAGTCAAACTTCGTCTAAGGGAAGGAACGAAACGGATTGAAAATGCAATACATACAATTTATCTTTTATCAATTAGTGGAACGGGAGGGGAGGGATGAAGGTGCAGAAAAATATTTCTATCACAAAAATAAGACTTCAAAATTTTTATTCCTCTTCTTCTCTCCAAGGCTCACCATTTTACAGTCATATCGACTCTTATGACTGCATGCTATCGTTACAAATTTTCCACAAGCTTAAAAAACCTATATCCATCAAAATAAATAGAATCGGTAATGGATTTCTACCAAGTGCATTTGGAAAAAAGGTCACAATGTTCGCTACATGCATTCGTTTTCTTTTTTAAGCACTCTGTAATTTCAAGCTCTCTCCGCGCTTTATTTACTCAATGTATTGGAACACAAAATGTGGATAATCTGTCACTGCTTCGGAAGTAGTTATGGGGCTTGATACCTCGTTCGCAGTCCCTTTTCATAATACAATTGCGAGGGATTGGCATCTAAGCAAATTTGGGTAACTGGAATTCCTACATGGGTAAGATAGGAAACCCTAATTAAGTCAATGCTCAAGCAGCAACTTATATTATTCATTCGTGGACGAAAAACGCTAACCTTGAAACAAGTCCAGACCGTACTTTCTACAGTACTCTTAGACGCTGATTGGTTCACTTGAAAAGAGTACGGTATGGACTGAAGAGCTGATTTCTCTGTTGGGATTCAGTCGTAGCTACCGCTTGAGCAATAACTTAGTTAACTCTTTTATTACTAAAAAAAGTATCAGATGATCAACTCTACTAACAAGATGTAAAAATTCCTGGATGCAGGCCAAAGGAATCACCCAGTTTTTTTTTTCAAGTAGCAAAGACATCTGAATGGTGCTATTGAGAAGGCAGTGCATGTGGGATCTAATATATTATGAAACATAAGGTGCATCCAAAAATCATCAAATGGCAGGAAACCGAGCGGGTCCCGCAGCGACGCGTCTGCTAGACCTTTGAGATTACTGGTTCACCAGTTTCGCTAGATAAGCTCTTGGCATGTGGCTATCAGCTAGTTTCAAAGTATAGCAGATCCAAACGATTTAAATCAAACCATTCGGATCTCTATACTCTGAAATTCAAATTGTGCTGTAAAAGTAAGCGTCAGGAATATTTAGTGAAGGGCTTCCAGTACGTACAATTAGAATAGATTAAAAATAGACAATAGAATTAAAAATAGATAAAATGGAATAGTATAATATATTGTAAATTGCCGCCTATTTGTCACCATGTTATATGGTACTCAAAGTATCTATCATCCCAAACCACTTTTATTAGAATAACTCTCTTCTTAGTGGAAATTTCTTAAGATGGTCTTCTCATCTCTTACCGACTTAGAGATTACGAAATTACTGGTTTTGGCTACACTCGAATACTGTTGGTTTGACTTTTGATCATTCACACAAACGCCAATAATTCTAGTAACGATTTGGATCTACTGGTTTTGCGAGAAAAAATTTGACAACTTGTTCTGAATGCTGAATTGTTTGTTGTGGAAAAAGTTCAGGGAACTTATCAATAAATCTAGTATTTCATTTTCCCGTTCAAAGCATATAGTTCTATTTTTGTTTCAAAACATATCACAGCCTCAAATTTTAGGCAATATGTGGACCGAAGAAAACAGATTTTGGAACTTTTCTTTTGTAAAACATAACCATTACATATTTACACTCAGGGCGATTTTGCAAACTTTCTTCTCGATGGTTAAATATACGTCCCGAAATTTGAAAATTAGCGGGAACATTCATTGCTTCTTATCTCAAACGTTCAAGATAAGCGTTCCGTTCCCTCTGCGTTAAAAATACTATTGCAAATCAACTAAAGTCTTTGAAAAGTTTTCCTCCTCTTTTTTCTCAAGTTTACCACTCGCAATTCGTCCAGCATCAGCTCCCTATTATCTAACGTTTGCGCAAAAAGTCACTAAAACTTCCGTTTTTTTCATTGTCGTATTTCACGGGAGGTATAAAATTTTTGTCTACGGGAAATCACTCGGTATAGAGTTGTAACTCTATTTCATGAACTCATATCAACATCATTATTTCGGTTCATATTTTTTGTCATATTTGTAAGTTCTTCGATATCATTCATAGTCCACAAATTGTAGAATAGCGACCAGCAAATTAACTTTTCAGTACAGCGCCTGATTTACCGATAAGGTCATAATTCAGGCCGCTGTACTGAAAAGTTACTTCTTCAATGCTTTTTGAGGTTTAATGAAACGGGAATTTAGTTTATAAAGCTGGTAATTATTTTGCAAAACATGATTTTTCTCAGAAGGGAAAGACTAAGATTATCAATATATAACTTTTCTTTGTATCTGTTGCACGAAGATGTCCAAACATCGTCAGCACGACAGGTCAGCGGAATGTATAGGAAAGGTGAAACGGGAAACTTGCACAAACGGTTATTTTTTGCTATGAGTAATTAACATTTATCAGAAAAATTGTCTGCATTTCATGAAATTTCTCAGTAAAAAACTTTTTTTAAGCAAACAGTTTGATACAATATATTAGAAAGTGGGTGACAACATTGACTGTTGATAAAAAAGCTCGACGGGGACATGTTGGAAAACTAATAGACTAGTAGTCGCGCATGAACACTATGACACGCGGGAATTGGCAATAGTGCATGGTTCCATCGGAATCATGGGTGAGGGGGGGGGGGGAGGTTAGATGTCATAGAAAAATTCCATAGGAACAAAAACCTTTTTCGGGAATAGAACATAAGTTGAAAAATTGATTATTGAAAAATTCTCCCATTCGTTTTTTGGAAGAAAATTCATCATTGCTTTTGCCAAAAATTCCGGTTTCATCACATACTCAAAGTGAAATAGAAATGACGTGGTTTGGTAACTAGGTTGGCAAGCAAGTCGGCAAACG